ATTCATTGACGCCAAGAATATACATGGCGGGCAAACGAGTAAGTGATAATGATATAAATAGCGTGAGATGAGCGGGAAGCAGCAGATAGACATAAGCAGACAGATAATAGTGAAAGAGAATAAAGTTGCCGTGAAGTTAACTACCATAGATGTGATAGGCCTAACGATTGACACAGGCCTAATGTTTAATATGTTCAAGTGAAACTAACAGTAGAAAAGAAGATAATAAAAATAATTTTATTCCATCAAAGCCTTGTTCTAAAGTAACTGAATCAGCCTGTGTGAACTTTGACAAAAGGAACAGAGTATTTTCAAAAGAAAGAAGACCAAAAGATTGCTGTAACCCATTCCACAATTGTAAGCAAATCACAGAGAATACTAGTGTGATAGAAATAGAGAAGATAGTTAGGCTTGTCACCTGAAAATATAAAGTAATTGAATAAGCCTAAGTGGATATTTGACAAGAAGGAGAGAACTACATATATAGTATTTATGATATGCCCATAATATCTGTAGTGTTGAGGAATTTACTGTACATACGTTAACTTGTTCTGAATATATATATATATTATTTTGAAAACAAGTGAAGTGTGTGTTGTTTATTCATTGCTGAATTTATCACTAACAAGTCACAGACACCTACTGTAGAAGAATCTTAAGCCCAATAATAACGTAGTATATATTTATACTATTAAGAAATATAACTAAAAGCCTTTTTATTTTGACAATTGGCGAAGATCAGATTTTAAAATTCTGACAGCGGCTAACAATAATACAAGCAGTTACATCTATCCGATGATGACAATTTGGCAACAATTTCAAAATAACTATTGTTGGATTACAGTGTAAAATAAGCTCTTTCTAACAAAGATATACATGTTTGTGTTGGATGTAGACATAGCATGCAAAACTCAACCATGGGTATAGGTTGGTGGGTGTAGCACCCATTAAGGTTTGGCAAAATGTATTACTTGTTTCTACTGGATTCAGCCAAAGAACTTTGAAACATTTATGTCAATAGGGCAACTAAACATACTTATTGTCTAAACATACATGGGCTGGGGTTATTCCATTCAATAAAGTGGCTGCAAAAGTGAAGATTTATCATAGCTCGTGGGTCACGTGACAAAAAAAACTGAAGTTTAAGTATTCTATTTAAAGGTTTCTTAAGATAAAATCAAACTTCGAATTATAACATACTTGATATAATAATTTCATTAAAGTACATTGATAGTAAAATGGTTTAATCAAATTTTGAATATAACTCAGTGAGATTTGCAGAAAGGAATTTAAAAATGGCACTGGTTGTCATAAGGTTAAATAAATACACATTTAATCTAATAGTTATTCAGTTTATATTTTTTCAAAAAATTTACAAAACATTTTTATAAACTGTTAGAAATAAATTTCCTAAGCTGTCTTTACCATTTTATTTTTTGTATAAAAGAGAGTAAGATCTATGTTTATAAGGATAATTTCTCAGACTTTTTATAATCTTTCTTAAACAAAATTATAGAAAAAAAACTAAAAATACATTTGTCATAATGAAAAGTTTAAATTGGAATTAAGGTTAAAAAATGTAAAAGTACTGTATGACACCATTTCATACTATCTATAATTCCCATCAATGATAACTGTAGAATGAAGCACAAAAGCAGTGCTAATAACTGGCACTATAATTTATTAGTTTTGATAAAACAATCACAAAGTTTACAAAATAAAAACTTGTTTAAATGAATAAAAGCTTACTTGAAGCGATAAAGCCCTGGAATAAGGTTTATTAACTGGACTGTATTAGTATCATTCAATTGAATCTTGTATCCAATAGGAAGAGTTATGACTTCCCAATGATATTCAACAATTTTATCATCATCTGTACTGTCTGTAAAAAAAAAAAAAAAGAAATAATATTTTCAAGTTTCATGCAACTATGTTATATATATGGTTTTTTTTTTGCTTTGTAGTATTTTTTTCTAACTTTTAAAATCTTACTTTCATATAAACACTTGCAAAACTTTTAATACTTTATATAATTTTGTTATAGTAAAGAATACAAATTTATCCAGCTACATACATACAAACATATCTTTTAATATAAACAATACATTTATATATATTTCAGCTGTCAGGTAAGTTACCGTAGCAAACACAGAAACCAAATAAAAATTTTTTTATTTGGACACCACTTTAAAAAACTCAGTGGAATGGGTACTAAATGGGTACACAAGTTTTGGATTTGTTGTTCTAGGACCTGACATATTTAAATCTGAAAATTAATTACAAACTCACTGTGATATGAAGAGCTGAGAACAAGAAATGTGCTTCTGACTCATTTGGAGTAAACAGTACATAGTTAATTTGCACTTGAAGAATTAAAAGGAAAACAACAGTCTTTTATTCATCAGCAGAACTTGTCAGAAACCTTACTTGCCAGGAAATAATATACTTGGTAATATGTAGTTTCAAACAGCACCTACTCTGAGACACATCTTCTCAAGAAACACTGATTACAAGTTGCTTTTAAGAATAGAATTTTACTTATGGTATGTTATTTTTAACAGTCACTATCTTGTTAAAACTAGTTTTAAAAGAAATATTTACGAGATTTAATACTCTGAAAAATCACAATTATATGACAAGTACTCTGAACATACATCTCTTAAACAGTGATTATATAAATGCATGTGTAACATGGATGTTGCTTCAACAGACAGGCTCTTTCTTGTACAATCTCTAGGTAACATGTAGCCTGTGATGTATTTTAAAAGCAAACCTTACCTAATTCTATGCAAAACAAGAACTCTCTACTAAAGATATTTTCCTGAATTAGTGTAATCTACTGAAATTATTTATATTATTTGTTTTTACAATAATTATTTACCTCTCATTTTACTTCGTAATTATATCTTGATATAATACCTCAATGATGCAACTTTCTAATACAATTCTCAAAATACTAAAACAACTTAATGCCATTGAATATTATTTATCTAAGATTTTAATACAAGCACTTCCTCCTTCTAAGGTAAAAAATAAACGATGTTTTTTTTAAGAATTGTATATTAGCCAAAAAATTATGTATATTACAGTTACATGATTGTTCTAAATAATTGGTAATGTCATTAAAAAATAATTGTGTTTAACCATGCATATTTATGTCATTTGCCATCTGTTTTACATTGTCTGATTTTCATACTATGAAAGTAATGTTTAGTTATTATTGTAAAGGTTATAATTGTACAACTGTTGGTTTTCATCCCATTAAACGTTTAGCAAATAAAATTCTGGAAAAATGAGTATTCTAGTTTTTTTTTAAATTGGAGTAATGTCTAGTCTCTATGGTAAAATAAATCAACATATTTCTTAAAACTAACATGAAACTATTAAAGAACTACTGTGAAAAATGTTTTAATCGCTTACATGCCTTTGTGTCCTATTTTATTATAACTGTTATGTTTGTTTCAACAAAATGAACATAATGGTCACTTATGGTTTTTTATATTGCTGTATATTTGAAAATAACATTACTTCTATTTTTAATTTGTAACATTCAAACTGTTGAGTTTTAAATGATGAAAGCCTACAGGTTGTATGAAGATTTCTGAAAATACTTTATCTTAGTTTTGGGGATGATTTCATGTTTAGTGCACGATAATTTGGTTGTGCAGACTTGTTAGTCAGGTATTTGACAAACTTCCTAATTAACATCTGACCAATTCTGCTTCTTTGTTTTACATATTTTAGTAGATTTTTATGCACCAGATGCATGATGTTTTTTTTTCATTTAAAAATAAACAAAATCATCCTTATTTTCACAAATATATACCTAATGTTGAACTCTGAATTATTCTCTTCATGACTATGCTATAAAACTCGCTACTTCTGACCCTGAATTAATTAACAAAAATGAATAGCTCATAAATGTTAGCATATCTGAAACACAAAAGCTTCAAACTTATAGTACAATAACTATGGGAGCTTTTAAAATATAAATGTTATTTTTTTATCAATTATGATTTTATAATGAAATAAAAACTGCTACATAACATAGGTTGTACCATTTAGTTACACAATACACTTGTGACCACTGATCTGGAAGTCATTTTACTTGTATGGCTACATTACTTTAAAGGCCTAATGACATCATGCACTAGTCCACATTAATAAGGCATTGCACCACTATTGTCTAAAAGATTAATACTAATATAAATATATAGTATTTATATTTATCTATCTTATGTATAAAATTTAGCTATGAATTTTTTTATTAATAGATTGCTTCAATAAGCTCTGTGGTTTCTACCTTCATCTAAGGAACTTTGCAGAAACTGCTAATCACCCCTTGTCACAAGTTAAAGCAGCAAGAGTTATTAAACACAGAAAATGAAATGCCAAAGCAATTATTTAACAAGCACGTGTGGCAAAACCCATTAAGTTATTACTTTTCCTGTGCATAAAAACAATATAAAACCATTACTAGATTAGATTATTTTAAGGCATGACCACTCACTTAGCATCAAGGTAAACGAACTGAAATTTTAAAAATTTACAATTCATGCAAGAAAGGGGGCTCTAAGGCAAAAAGAGTGCAGGAAAGAAAATAATCCCAATTTTCAGATGACATATTTATGATTTTATTAACTCAAAAGTTGTAAACAAATGTATGAAAAGTAAAACTTTAGTTTTCCTCATCACCAACTCCAACTATTCACTGTTTTCAAACTAACCGAGCTAAAAAAATTAGCACCAAACTTGTAGAAAATGTATGTATTTCTGGTTTTGTTTAGGAAATTTAGCAATTTTCACCATCTCAATAAAAAATTACAACATAGGACAAAAATTGAAAATTAGAGCTAACAGTTTTGATATTTCCAGGTTACTTTATCCAAAACAAATGTTAATAAAACATAAGTAAAAAGAATATTTAAAATCTCAACCTTTCAGGAATAATTTCATTTTGTAAATAATTTGAAGGGAGTATTCTTATTGGTTATACTGAAAATTTCATACCATGAATTCTTACAGTTTTTATTCCTGTACACTGGTTATTATGCAGTGCCTAACAAATCACCAATAACAGCACTACATCTTTTGAATGGAACATGCAGTAGGTCTTTATGTCAAATTAATTTATTACTAACAACTTGTTTCATTTTTTATGTACTCAACCCAATAATTTCATTAAACTGGAACAGAAAATATTTTCTTGTATCACTGTATTTACACAAGTAACTCCATGAACATATGGATCCAAGAGCTAATAATATATATATATATATATGTTTGTGAGTGTATGTGTTTCTGTGTCTGTATCTGGTGAGACTTGAGTAAGAAATATACTGGGTTAGGTTTGGCTTAATGGTTAGCACCTTAGTCTATGGATCAAAAGGTTTAAGTTTTTGTCCATTACATGCCATTGAGCAGGCTTTGCATTTTCAGATTGGAGGGCATTATAAGTATGATATTCATTCTTGATATTCAGTTAAAAGTAATTGTGCAGTTGGAAGGTGCTTCTTACTGGTTGTCCTTTCTCATTTCTTATAGCTCATATGTTACACCAAGTGCAGTTCAGGTTGAAAATACTGCATACCAAGAAATAATTAAACTCATTTAACATATATAATTTTGAGCAACATGTATGAATCAATATTTCCTCCATCCCTCAGTGCAAGAGAAGGAAATCGCAAACGAGTTAATTTTCCATTTAACAACTGGTAGATGTACAGGGCTGGATTACGAAATTTTAGGGCCCTGAGCATATAAAATCTGGATGGCCTTCAAGTAAAACCACACTATGTGACAGGCATGTTTCTATCATTTACACTATTAAAAATATCTAAGAATCTTCTACTTATATATATTTCTTGTTCATATTTGAGCAGAGTACACAGCATAACATAGTTCTTGAAAGGGAGGGGGTGAAAGCCCTAGGCCTCATAGGCCTGTGCATTAACCTGCTCCTGATACTGTTACTATAAGACCCAAAAAGAGATGCCTCAGAGTAAGTGATGTTTCAAACTACATATTACCAAACATTAACTCTGGAAAGCAAGATTTCCCGAATGTTATGCTGATGAACAAAAGACTATTGTTTTCCTTGTGTTTGTTGAAAATCAAACGTATAATAGGTGCTGTTTACTCCAAAATGGTCATAATCATGTTTAATTTTTTTCAGCTCCTTATCTGTTATAGAAGACACTTTAAAATGCAAAACACTTCAAAAAAATTTTCAGTTCGCTATCTTCTAATTTTTTGTTCATGTAGATAATACTTTGCTGAATTTTGAGAAAAACATTCAGGTAATAACACATTCCTTTGGTTATATATAAAATGTTTATAATCATAGCTAAACTTCTATGCAAAAAAAAGTTTTACTTATGACCAAATAAAAGACAAAGAATAACACAAATTCTCTCTAGATTGAGTATCTTAGAGTAGCTACAGACTTGATAAACAAGGAATTCATGTAAGTATTTTATTTATGTAAAACACCACACATGTACATCCACCACTACATGGAAACCATGGAATTCCCTGAAATCAGTATAACTAAGTGACAAGTGGTAAACTGAATGATAGATTGGTCTCCATCATCATTTCTTACTTTTCACTTTTCTACAAAGAGAGAGTTGACTTTTTAATTAACATAAAGGTAGTTTAGAGACTCAAATGTGATATACCTAGATGAAAAAGCATCTACATTAGGGTAAGTACGAGAAAACCAAGCAAAGATCAAGCATCCTTTCACAAAGGTACTGTAATGAACTTAAACTTTGGTACAGTTAGCAACACATAAAAAACACCACTACTGCTTTCATAAACCAGGACCTTCTATCACAAGTTACTGTTTTTTGTTTTATCACAACCACTGATTACATGAGGATTTGTATCCTGGGTTTTTGAAATTTTGAAAGCTCTATTAAATCATTCATAAACTAATAAAACCAGCCTAAGTTCATACAATAGTATGACCATTACCTTATGGAATTAAGAATCTTATATCCTTAATACATGCAAAACTTACAAGAACCATCTAAAACAGTGTCTTTATTTGGGAGTTTCACAGTAACATTGGAAGGCTGGATGATAGCTACAGGTGGCTTGTTGTTCCGTTTGGCTGTTAAAACATTAAAAATTCTGGTATTAACATAGCTTTACTTTTTTGTTAACTGTCATGATAAGCAACAATAATTTTTACATCTTCCATTTGTGATAATGGACATTATTTTCAGTTCCTGAATTTTTTTAGCTTTAACTATATATATATATATATATATAAAAAACAAAAGATCATAAACCTTTTTATGTGAATCCCAATAAATATCCTTAGAAAACAATTGTTTAAAGTATATCTTAGATAGTAGTTAATGCTTCACATAGAATAACATAACAAATATAATACCCCTATATTCTAAAGAGATTATTTTTAGTGTGCCACTAATGCAGCTCTTATAATGATCTCATCATGAGGATTTATTTTTTGTTTGTTTTGTTTGTATTTAAGCACAAAGCTACACAATGGGCTATCTGTGCTCTGCCCATCATGGGTATCGAAACCCAGATTCTAGCGTTGTAAGTCCGCAGACATGCCACTGGGGGCTTTCATGAGGATCTATGCTAAAAGTCTAAGACATTTTTTACATACTTTTCATGATGTTGAAACTCATTACATTATAGTAAATTAGTTTGTAGCATACCCAATTTTTATTGGATCTTTTAATTTATAAAATTTTGGTAAAGATAGATATCCATTTTTCTTCTGTCCTGTCTTTTAGTTATTCAATTCCATATTTCAGACATCTATTCAAATGTATGTTCAGCAAGTATGCAACCCTTTACTGTTAAGCACTTCATTTGTAACAAATGGTATAGCAACTAATTATGAAACAACTGTTGGAAATAAACATTTGATGATAGATCTTCAGATATCAAAATGTTCCATTGAGTAATTCTTAAGATATAGGTAATATATATATCAAGCTAACAGTTCATCATTTTTATGATATTTATAGAAGTAGTTTAGATCTGGCTGCAAATAACTATTATTTTATGCCTTTACTGATTACTATAGTATAAGTGTACTCTTTGTACATATTTACAGACAGTATTGTATTTTTCTAAATAATGTTTGAGCATTAAAACAATGGTTTAGAAATTTAATGTGGCTATAATACTAATAATAGTATCAAGTGTTAACAGAGAAATTGAAATAATTTTTTATCAGAAATATATCAGTACTTTTATGTAACTTTTCACTGCAAAGTTTGAGGAAATTCTAAATTCTTCTTACCTCATGGCATTCTAAATGCTGTATTCAAACATTTAAATGTTTTATCAATTATTAAAAAGAGTGCAAAAATAATTCAAAATCTGACAGTATAAGAAATAAAAGGTTATATCGTTTAGTTTCAGAAAGGTAAGAATTTTGTTTATAAAAAATTTGAAAAGTTTATAAACTATTTTGTAAACTTAAATTATTTTCTATAAATGTAAAGGCCTTTGAAAAAGTTCCTATAGTACTTATAAGTATTCAATGACGTAACAATGAATTTTCCTCAAGAAAACCTAAGCTTACGTGGTAAAACAGTAACATTAACTGTGTCTGTTCCATATGATCCATTCCCAGTGACAGCAATCTCAAACACGTATATGCCAGCTCGGAGCTAAATAATACAAAAAAAGGAAAACTTTAGTAAGAAGTTCACACAGATTTATTTCTTCAACAAATATTGAGCAAAACTTCATACTGTTCTGGCCTACTTTTATCACAAAACCTTATTAGTTTATTGAAAAATAAACACAATGCAAAACAAACTAACATGGTCTAGTATAAACAATAAAGTGGGTGAAGATTTTTTTACTAAAATTCAAAGCATGTCAGTATTGTTTTAGTGCAAAGCTACACAATGGACTATTTGCACTCTGCCCATTATAGGGAATTAAACCCCATAGTTTTAGTGTTGTAAGTTTGTAAAATTACAACTAACCTACTAGGGAATAAAAAATTAAAAGCATTCTCATGTAAGTTTGTAAACGTACCATTAACCTACAAGTTGTAATTTTACAAACTTACATGAGAATGCTTTTAATTTTTATTCCCTAACCTACTAGGGAATAAAAAATTAAAAGCATTCTCATGTAAGTTTGTAAACTTATCATTAACCTACTATGGAATAAAAATTAAAAGCATTCTCATGTAAGTTTGTAAACTTATCATTAACCTACGAGGGAATAAAAATTAAAAGCATTCTCATGTATTTAGGTCTTCTTTGTTTTACAGTTTTTAGTAATGTAAAAGTATGCTTGTTTGTCAGATGCAAACCATCAGACTTAAAAAAAGGAAACAATCATTTTGCATTCAAGTTCTTGAGATTTTACACATGTAATAAATATCTTCAGAGGGTGACTAAATAACATCAAAATCAAATAACTTGTAGGAGCTATATGTAATAAAAGGTCTAAAGATAAGTAGCTTGTTTGACATTTCAATGAACTAAAAAATTTATCTGAGGAATTGGGGGAACAGTTGCAGAAAAATTGTTAAATTGATGATATAAGATATAGTACATTCTAATAAAGGCTATTTTAATATTTTAAGCATTTATAGCAAAAAGCTCTGCAGAAATATCATTTCAAAGAGAAAATAAACTATTTTGGTTAATATAAATTGTACAAAAGTTAGTAAAGATTGTCAACTGCTAATTCTTTTCTGAAAAGAAATCAGAAAATAACTGGTTAACAGCATCTGCTGTGATTGGGTAGTCATGTTCAATTCTCACTTAATGAATTATTACTACTTTGATGGAAGACAGCATGTTGAAAAACATGGAGTAGTTATTTTAACATGTCTGCAATGAACAATAACTAACCATTTTGGAAGTCACAGAAATTCAATGGACTTCACTCAAAATCACTAGAAAGACTAAATTATGCATCAAATGACTCAAAGCAATGTTCAAAAAGTGAGAACACTATTAACCATCTTTTCAAGCAAACTTTTAGGTAAGAAACATGTCATGAAATTTTTTATTTTATCATTGTGGTTGAGTGAACACGAGAAAATAATAAATCCCTTCCATAACCTTAAGGAACAATAGTCATAATCAGGACCATTACAAAGAACAACTATCAGTGGTGGAAGAATCCCGCAGTTAAGTTATTGTTCATTCACATTCAATAAATGTGTCAAGACTAATGTTATGGATGTACAAACAATATTAGGCAAAATCTATGACAATACTTTTAAATACCTTGAAATGCAATAGAAAAAATATTAATAAGGAATCTAAAAATAAAGTGAATCAATACTGTTAATACAATAAATGGATAACAAATAAACAAAAATACAGAAAATGAATACTGTAGTTGAACATCAGCATGTGTGACTTAGTTATCTTAAATGCATGACTGGTGTCGAAGTCAGAATTTGGTATTTCCCTTTTCTTTAACCTTGTTTGTATTAAATACTATACATTTATTATGCATCAAAATTAAAGCTGAGGTCCCAGATCAGATACCCGATTTTCTAGTATCTTATATAACTTCCCAAAGTCTGTAACATTTCAACAAACCAATATTTGATTGTAATCTGAATGTTTGATGTTGTGATCTTCAGTGCCTGGTAAAATAAAAATTTAATGCATGTAAACTAATTATTTTAGAAGTATTAAAAACAACATCTGAATTCTGAATAGTTATCCCTCCCATCTTAATGTCTAAATCTTAGTATGCTTTTAACAGAAGTCTTATGCATTTATATGTAATATTTGTCAAAAATATGAACAAAGAACCACCACTACTAACTGCTCTATTTTTAGTGAATAGTATAAATATAAAAAGTCAGCTCTATAAGGAGTGATCAACTAAATATCCTTTACAGTTGCTTTGACTTTTTCATTATGTGCTAAAATTTCTTATTTCAAAACTTAATATTAACTAAGATCACATTAAAAATAGTAGAAGTAAGCATTTGGAGAATAAGATGTAAAAGCGAATATTAGTAAATTACTTCTATAGCAGTCTGTCATTTTTTTTTCTTGCTTATATAATCTAAAACAACCAAAATACTTTGCAAAAGACAAATTTAAGACCTTTTTTTAATTCAAAAGTACTTCTGTTTTCACACACCTTTGATAATTTTAGAGTTGAACTTGTTTGACCTTGCATAATTCCCGTTTCCTCATCTCCACCTGGTTGAGATACCAAAGTCCAACGATACTCGTACTTCTCTCCTGATTAATTTAATAGTTATTGAATGAAACTGAAAACACCAATGTTTCTAACTGATGTGTTATACGACCATAAAATGAGACATTTACAAAAAGGTATACATAAATATAATTCTTAGTCTTCTCAGTATGTTACAGGAAACAGACTAACTAAAAGCTTATACACAAAAATTAGAAAATGAGTTGCTATGAGAACAAGACAAGAAATATGGTGTTTTGATATTTCCCTGATATTACCATTATTGGATCCCTTTATTTTGGTAAAATGGTGCATAAACAGTACAGTAGTATATATTTAGGGCAAAACATCAACTTATAATACATGAAATAACTTAAAAAACTTATAGGTCTAACAAAAGATCTGAGCTCCTTATGTCTGCAACAATGCTACACAACTGTGCAAAGTTAATACTTTCCTACACTGAAAATATATTTCCAATATGATCTTACCTCTTCTCACAGAATAGCTTTTCCTGACTTGTAATGCCCTCTATATGACAAATCTTCAACCACCACTAGCCTTGATACTCCCACATACTCTCATGTGCTTTCACATGAGGCAGCTGTATGATAGCATGCAAATGAGTATGCGACAACCATCCACCAATAGGAGTGCAACACAACTCTTACCACAGCTAACTCTCTCTGTGCAGCTTAGCCTGACTTCTCTTCATAATTGAGCAATATAAAAGGAAAAGACACTAGAAGTGGGGAGGAAGGGTGAGAAGAGGTAAGAATCAATCAGAAATACATTTTCAGTGTAGAAAATGTTCACTTCCGACACATATCTTAATTACCTCTTCTCACAGAATAGCTAGAATCCTATATTGACCTGGTGGAGGGACCAGTGTAATAGTGTCTAGATAATCCCTCTTCAGAAGGAATCAAAAGGAAGCCCACTTCTGAGCCAGGTTTACTTTTCGCTTGGGAGAATGATGTGTCACAATAAGGTTGGAATCATAGGAGGGACCCTTGGTGTAGAGTGGCTAGGGCATATCAGACTGTAAGGGGGAGTTCAACTTCAACCAACACCAGCAGGAATATCCGGCCCATGGTGGAAAGAGTGTCTTCTACCATTTGCCTCGGACACAGGAATTAAAGAGGAAGAAAATCTGCCATTCCAAGGACCCAAATCATCATGTGTGCATGTCCAACACAACCAACACCAGTACCCCCCGAGAACTGACATCAAAATGTTGGTAGACAGCAATGTGACAGTTCAACTCTAGTCCAGGACCAGGCAGCATTGGGGATGAATTGTCCAGTCCCTGGTAGGAGGAAGGTAACTAGGTCACTCACATGTGAGGCCTTATGTGGCTGGTCCAGCTCTAACCAACATCAGTAGGAAGGAGGGTGCCCAGCCGAAGGGGTGAATTGCATTTTGTCAAAAATCGTCCAGTCCATAGCCAGGTGGTATCTGGAATAGTACATCAGGTCTGTGATAGGAGGAGTGTCTATACACCGTCTAGACCAGCATACCACCACTGCAATACTCTCAACTGAGTGGAATTAGGCATACTCAGGAGGAAGCCTTCATGGTCCCCCACCCCAGCAGTTAGGAGCTGGTAATTGTTTAGGGTTACCGAGCTCCACTGGAAGAAAGAAGGGGGGGGGGATACATTGGAGAGCCCATAGGAACACAGCACCAGAGATAGTGAAAAGGGTGACTTCAAAACCCTATTTTGAAAAGTAGACCATTCCTGAATCAGTCAAACAAAGGAGTGGCATTGATGAGCAGCAATCCCCTTCTGCTTTACTTTAGTCCACGAGTGTACAGTCCAAGGCAAACATATTTATGATGCAAAACACTGTAAGGAAAAACCTATAAATGGTCTTTTGGAACACCCCATCTCAACAGTGGGTGTTTAAGAATAAGTACACCTGGTCAGGCGACACTCACCACTAAACAGGAGCCATATATGTGAGAAAGGCCTCTGTAAGTAAGAAAAGTACATAAGAGAATAATAAGCTGACAAATCCAACCCATAAGGGTAATAGTAGAAACATCATAGGAAAGGGAATGGTTTCAATGAATGAACAAATGAAAATGAGAACCATGGAAGGGAGCAGTGCAAGCCATGTAACAATGTAGAGCCTGGACAGGACATAGGAGGCAATCCAGATTGGAAAGACAGTAAAGGTGAGAAACGGAATAAAGTGAAATGAGAGTAAAGATGGATACCAAAAGCTTCCTGTCAAGTAGCCAGATAAGGAAGGAAGTCAGGTGAAGGACTGAGGAAAACCATGACAAAAAGACCAATGTCTTCAGGTAGACATACCACTTTTTCTGGAAGGGCGAACGGAATAGTAAATCAGGGAAGCAACCCACAGGGAAAGTCTGGCCTTTCTGGCAAGGGGCTGGACAAAAGCCATGCATGAAGATGGAGTGCTGAAATGGAAGGATGTAGTGTGCTTGACTGAGGTAGTCTGACGAGGGTTGGTGAGAGGGGAAGAGGAGGTGTCAATTGGAGCAAGTGCAGAAGTAGAAACTACAGTTGCATTGGTCAAAGTGGTGTCACCAGGAGTATGCGACACAGCAGGTTTGGATGATGGAGAGGTCACAAAGAAGAAGACAGATTTGGGGAATAGCATGGAGTAAAGGCCCCAAACCCTGACTGAGGGTATCAACAGCTACAGCCAAAGGATGTGGGATTCAGGAATTCAGGTGGGTGGTAAATGCAGCGAGTTCCAGAGTACTCCACTGGAAACACAGCCAGCTGAACATCTGTGGGTCGAGGGGCCACTCCATGGGAAGAATTTTGTTGTGCCTCGATAAACAATTCGTGACCAGATTCAGGGCACCTGGTGTATAACACACCAACAAGCAAATATGATGGTTGAGGACGAAAAACAGGAGGTCCAACATGTGGAAACAAAGAGAACTTGACCGAGTGCCTCCTTGCAAAGACAACCATTGAACTGTCCGAATGAATCACAACCAACTGGTTTCCAAGGGACAGAAGAAAGTGAACCAAAGCTCGATGGACAGAAACTAAGTCCAAGAGATTGATATGCAGAGATGCCTTATTGAAAGATCAATATCCAAAAATCTCCTGCATGTCCAGATACACACCACAACCAGAAAGAGAAGCATCTGTGAAGAGGTGCACCCCCAGACGAGAAGGAGGAACATCTATTGTGGAGTTGTCTCTGTCCAACCACCAGGCAAAGTCCACATGATGGGAAGGAGGGAGATGGATAGGGACATCCAAGGGATCCCGAACAATGTTCCACTGATCTAGTAAAGCCCACTGAAAAGGTTGCATGTAGGCTCAACCAAGAGGAATTAGAGCCTCCAAAGAAGTCTGCATCATCAAAAGAGATAGAACCTCTCACAGTTGGAGTAGGAGAGGAGTAAACAGTCTGAACCAGAAGTACCATAGATCCCAGGCACAGGGGAGAAGAATGGGCCCAGCTGATATGGGAACTCAATTATTCCTATGAGATGAACAAGGCAGTGTGGGGGGGGGAGAGGAGGGACTTCTCCACCTTAACCAGCCAACCTAATCCATGCAGCTTCGTGAAAAAAAAAAACTGAATGTGAAGAGAAGAGATGGCATGCAATGGATCTAGAAACAGTCAGTTGTCCATAGAATGGTGAAAATAAAGGTCCCTGGAATAATGAAGAAGGGTAAAGGCCTCGACAACCTGACAAAAAAACATAAGAAGACCCCAGAACTAGTAAGCACAACCACAATGGAAAAAACAAAGAAAATGCCAGGATGCTGGGAAAATGAGAATGTGGAGGTAAGTATCCAAGACATCTAACTTCATCATCTAAAGATCAGAGAATGGGTTGGACTCCATGGTGATTCGAGGAAGGTCTAGGAAGCAGTTCAAGGAAGAGAGATCAGTGACAAAGCACCAGTCTCTGATCTTGGTGGGGACTACGAACAAATGGGAATAGAAACCTGGCTGAGAGGGATCTCCCTGTTCAATATCACTCTTGTGAAGGTCTACAACTGCCTCGAAAATATGATGGCTGGATATGGAATCATGAGAAGTGGGGAAGGATATGGGATGAGGGGACAAGGAAGGAGGGAAACTGAAACAACAAACAAGCCCTTCAATAAGAACCTGCAGAACCCAAGGGTCTGTGGGGAAGGGCTCCCAAATGATGGCAAAGTGCAAAAGCCTGGCTTCCACCAGACTTGTAGCCAAAACATAGTCACTGGGACCACTGAAGTCATCGACAAACAAACTGATGGTGAATCTCAGAGACCCATGGAGCAGACTCTGGTAAAGGAGAGGAGGAGGGGGAGAAGAGCAGGAAGCCAATGAGAAAAGAGAAGTGTGCAAGTGTGCAGACTAAACTCTGGTCTTCCACGAGTCAGGAAGACACCCAAAAACATCTTGTCTTAAAAAGGGAGCCATGCACAAGTCCCATAAGGAGGTGGGGGTAAATGCATATGAGACAAATGGGCATCCTGACCAAAGACAGAGTCATTATATATAAATTTACCTTTAAATAAAGTAATAGAGTTAAGCAGTAGTTTAACATTCCAAAATTCAGATGTTATTACAGGTGTAACAAAACCCCTTTTTATTAAATTATTGGAGTTTGCTACAAAAGAATATAAATAATTTTTTAATGGTTGTCATTATGAACAAACTGATAGTGTCTATGGGTTCAAGGGTCACACTATGTTTAAGTAATCTATTTTTAAGTTATCATAAGAAAAGATGGTTGTAAAATTGTCCTGAACAGTGTAAGCCTTTATATTATAGAAGATACTTAGATGACACATTTGTTGTGTTTAAAAATAAATTTGACGTATCTGAATTTTAAAGCTATTTGAATAGTCAACATAGTAATATTAAATTTATTATTGAAGAAAAAAATGTATCCACCTTACCATTTTTAGATACTAGATACTAAATAAGTGTTATTATAAAAGAAACTTTACTGGGCTATATTTTCATTTTAATATTTTTCTACCATTTGAATCTAAAAAGGATTTAATTTATAATTCAACATATTGGGCTTATAATTTGGGGGGGGGGGGAGATTTCATAAAGAAGCTATAAATATAAAGGATTTTTTACAGAAAAATAGGTTTTCTCTGCATTTGATTGACAGCATTATTAAGAAGTATTTAGAAGCTTCGTAAACTTCTAAAATTAGTAAATGTGCTAAAACTAAAGAAACAGTTTATTTTACCACATACAGGCAAACATGCTATAAATTTAAAGAATGAAAATTTAAACTGGTTTGTATAATAAGGTTTATCCACAAGTTCAGCTTAGAATTGTTTTTAAACCAATATTTCATTTAAGTAACTACTCTGAATTTCAAGACAGGATTCTTAAAATGCATTGCTCTTACATTATTTATAAATTTGCATGTCCAAGGTGTAACCACGGATATTTGTTGTTTGAGTTCAAGAATTAAGAACATGTGCAAAATACCCCATATAACCAGTCAGCCATTCTTCACCATCATTTACAAGACAGAAACTATATTCCCACTGTCAACAATTTCAGCACATTGAGAAGTACACTGAAATAAAAAATGCAAAGAAATTCTGTGGATTCACTATACACATACAGGACGCAATCATGGCCATGACTCAGCATATTGGCTATGTTGGTAGACGAGTACAATAGGTACTGACAGACTCACATAACGTGGGATCTCAATAAAGTAGTCATAATATGAGTATCATGGAGCACAATCTCGTGATGCATTAGTGCATCAGCAAATTGTTACAACATTAATTAATATTAAATATTTAATTAAACCAAGACACTGCAAACTGTATATATTTATACAGATAATGAAACCTCTGATAATAAGTAATAAAAAAAAATTAAAACAGTACAATCATTCGTAGTCATAGTTAATGCTTTTCATAAATTTTATCAAAATGGTATGTCATTTATGATATATTACTTAGGCCTTTAGAAAAACGTACACTGAAATCATAGTTAGGTTTCAGTTTGTTTGTTTGTTATGGATTTCGCGCAAAGCTACACAAGGGGTATCTGTGCTAGCC